TAGAGTATATCTCTTATATTAGTCTCTAAAACTTATAGCTAGTTATAGATTTAATATATTAGTTTAGTATATTTCTTAATAAAAGAACTATAGATTTTTAAAATACTTATAATAAAAAGATCTAGAGATTATAGGTATTTCCTATATATCTAGAGTTTATATTAAAAGAAACTATAAAAGGGCTTTTAATACTTCTAAATAACTAAGTAATAAAGGGTCTTAAGTTTGTATATAGGGGAAAGAGTCTTAAGAGTATTATTAATTCTTAGTATTAAGCTATTTATACTAAGTGGAATTAGGTTCTCTAATACTACTAGTAGTATTAGTAAAAGTATTTATATTCTAATAATTCCTAGAGGGAGCTATACTTACTTAACCTAATATTCTTACTATCTTAGTAATTTATATAGTAGAACCTATAGATACTCTATCTAGAGATTACTAAGTATAGTAATAAGTACTATATACTTATTACTTACCCCTTTATTCTAAAGCTCTTAATTAATAGAAATTAAGGTTTAAGTCTTAATAATCTTTATTCCTAATACCAAGGTGTAGAATATAATAGAGACTACCTCTAATAGGGACTAAAAGTAGACGAGAATAGGTTTATATATAGAAGGAAGGTAGATAATATTAGGGTTGCTTATATTCGGAGGTAATAAGTAATACCTACATTCTTTAGTAATAATAATATCTTTAAGTCTTAGTTTATTACTATAGTTCTAGAAGTAGTGTTATATAGCCTAAGCTCTATTTTAGACGCGCTATTAGAAAGAGTCTTTTAGTATAATATAGTGATTATTATTAATCTTATAAAGCTCTTTAGTACTCCTACTTCTCGAAAAGAGTATCTTTATACTTAGTATTAGAAGGCCCTTAATTAGTTTAGAATAGCCTATACCACGCTTTACTAAGTGGAGAAGTATTATTTTAAAGATATATCTTTTATTAGAATAGTAGAAGATAATCTATTTATAAGCTAGAAGTATCTATAATCGGAAAAGAATAAGTACTAGTTCAAGAATAACTATATAGTTTATTATAATACCTAGAAAGTTATAACTATAGTAGATTAGTATAAACTATCTATAGATAAGTCTAATATTTCGAACTATAACTTATCTATTACTAGAAGTGTAGCTTACCTTCTTTTAGTAAGAATTCTAAAAGCTTATAGAGCGCCTCTAGCTAAAGAACCTTCTAGTAATAAGTAGTTTAAGGCTAGAGTTCCTAAGGCGAAGGGGTCTAATTAAGAAGAGATTAATAAAAATAAACTAGTTACTAGTATTAAGAGTCTAGCTTTTCTATTAATATAGGACGAGCTAAGCGTTTTTAAGTGACTTAAATTAATTTACTCTATAGTTTCTATAGTATAAGTAGTAGTTACGGACCCTCTATATAATTAGTTAGTAGATTAGCTTTATTAAGATATTATATCTAGTCTTAATCTAAACGCTCTTATTATAATTAGTAATTAAGAGATAGCTAAGAATTCTAGCTTTAAGAGTAACCGATAGTCTCTATATTTAGAATTAAGTAGAAGTTAGAAAGGTGCTTCTAGCCTTACTAGGGATTCTATAGAGGATATTTTTAGTGTAATTAGTAGATCTATAGAGAGTATTTCTAATAAGATAGATAGATCTATAGAGGGTGTTTTTAGAGGTATTAAAAGGCTTATTAAGGGTAGTTCTAGAGGTATTAAGGTACCTAAGAATAGTATTTCTATTAATATTAACTAGCCTAAAAACAGTGCTATAGGTATAATTAAAGAGCTTAAGAAATAGATTCTACCTTCTCTAATAGCTTTAGAGAAGAAGTTAGTAGTTACTATTATATAGGAGCTTAAGAAAGCGAATTAGAAGGCTATTTATAGGGCTATAAAGGAGGTAAATATATTAGAATAAGTTTATAGTAAGCCGAACTGCTATTAGTAAGAGAAATTACTAGTAGTAGGTTATAGTAGCGCTATTAGTAAGAGGACTTACTAGTAGTAAGTTATAGTAGTAGGGTTTAAGGTTCTAATTCTTTAGTAATCTTAGCATTTATCTATACTACTATTTAGAGGATTAGAGTAGCTATAGAATAGCTACTAGGTAAGGGAGATATATAGTAGTATAGGAGGTTTATTATATAGAAGCTAGTATAGAGTGCGCGTACTAAGATTTAAGAATCTTTATTAATCGATTAATTAAGTAAGACAACTAAGATAGTTAGTATTAATTATATTATAGTATTAAGTATTACCACACTCGTTCTATATATTATTTAGCCTTATATAACCTATTACCGTGATTCTATCGCCGCCTTAATAGTTCTACCTTATTATCTCACCTTTGCGGACGCGTATAACCTACTCACCTGAGTCTATACTTAAATCCCTTACCCACAATATTACCCTATAATATTATCTACTATTATTATATCTTACTCTATTCTCTAATACTTTAATTAGTATTAAACTATACTCTAGTATCTACTATTATTATCTAGAGATAGTAGCGTGTTACACTACTAAGCTACTATATAAAGCTTCTATTTATTTAGCTCTACTAAGCTTTATTAAGCCTTTATCAACTACTACTATATATAGAGGCAGCTATACTTATATTATATACTTATAAAACTCTTAAAAAAATAAGTTTAAACTACTTAATTTTTAAAAATCTAGTTATTTTACCTTTACTAGCTAGAGGGTAAAAATTAAGTAAAAATAATAGAACTTTAAAAAGTAGTTTAAGTAGCTTAAATGTTTTAAGTATCTTAAGTATTTTAGCAGCTTAGTAGCTTTAAGATCTTAGAGATAGCTTTAAGAATTTAGTAGTAAAATCTAATAGCTTAAAACTAGCTCTAAGAGTTTAGTAATAAAATCTAATAGCTCAGAGCTAGCTTTAAGCTACTAGAGTTTTTAGAGCTATATATAAGTATTACTAAGATAGTTAAGCTATAAAATAAAATGCTAATATCTCTTTATATCTTACAAATATATTAGTATATTAGATTTTAAATATTCTATAAAAGTAATACTAAAAGTAAAATAGTAAGAGCTCTAATTAAAAAGAATAGAAATAGTACTAAGATATAATTAATAAGAATAAGAATTAATATTACAAATAAGATTAGATTAAGTTATAAGAATACTAGATTCTTATTTTAAGTTAAGTATACTATTTAATAAGTAAAAATAGTATAGACTATATACTAGGCTACTTCTAAATATCTTTATACTATAATTCTCTTAATATAAGTAATTCTCTTAGAAGTAGCTCTATTAGTAGAATTTTTATAACTTCCTTAATTCTATTATTTTTTAGTAGAATTATCTTTATTATATTATATAATTATGTTTTCTAGAAATATTATACTTTTCTTAGAAACTCTATTTTTCCTAGAAAACTCTTTCTAGGAAAGCCTAGTTTATAATACACTCAAGAAAGCTAGTATAGACTCTCTATTCTAGAAGCTATTTTAGTGAAGGAGCTGTTTTAAGCCTCTAGGTGAGCCTAGATAAGTTCCGGGTAATAGCTTAGGTGATATAGGTGAGTACAGGTAAGCGAAGGTGAGCATTATCACTCTAGGCTAGGTGTCGCATTACCTAACTCACCCTGCTCACCCGCCTAAAGCGGTATCGTCCGCATTAGGCGACGACGGGGGTGTCGCAGATAATCCATCAATTTATCTACCTACCTAGGTAGTTAGGAAACGCTAGCGTCTTGATAAACTCGAACAGGACACCGTTCGACGCTTTTGATTCTACTACGTAGGGCCGAATTATGGGAGAAGATTCCAAGCCAGCCAAATTAGCAATGGCCGTACGCAAAGTCAATGCATGACGATCCTCTCTACAAGCAGGCAGTGTTGCTTGATCTTGGGGGCTGTGCAATGGAGCACATCTCGCAGCTTTCACTTAGATTTCAAGGCCAGCAACACAGGGTGCTCTGCTTCTATCCGTCACACTCATCTATCACTACCTTCAGCGTCTTTCAGTTATATCACAGGTCTGGCCTCATCACCGTGCCCTCCCTTTGTTATTAGGCACATTCATCACTAGATTAATAGCACTTCCCTACCTAAATCGCGATGCAGTTTAAGCGAATTGTCCAGTATGTCTTCCACGAGCGCGATGACCGTTGGAGAGGCATCATCCGCTATGGGCCACTACTCCTCATTCCAATCTCCATATCCGTTATCCTCCTCTGGATCTTCAGCACCGCCTCCCTCGTCTACAGCGCCACGATTGGCATGGAAGAGAACTGCTACAACTGCACCTACGGCGCCTGCGCAGGCCGGATATCCTGCTACCCCGTCGCGATCACACCCGGGTATTGGGATAGCGCAGCAGAGGGCGCGTAAGTGACTCCTCTAATCTCCCTCCAAAACCCACAACCCACAACCCCTGCTAACAAACAGTCCCTCAGCTCCGAAGTCTTCGCCCGCATCTCCATACTCATAGTCGAAACTGTCCACCTCCCCCTTCACCTCTGGGCTTACTTCCGCTCCCGCCTGCACCCCGTCTGGGCTCTGTGCCTCTCCATTGCCCTAGTGGGCGGCTGGCTCTGCCAAGCGATGTTCGCTTGGGGAAGGGACGACATCGGCGGCGCTTACAATACGGCGGTGTGGGATGGACTCGCCACTTTTAGAGCCGTGCTGGGGTTCGGCGTCGCCATCGTATATTTCGTGTATATGGGGTTTGCCGCGCATGCTGTTAAGCTGTGGAGGAAGGCGAACAAGCGGAGGGCTAATGAACGGGAGGAGGAGTGGAGGACGACCATGGGAACCGGGAGGGGAGGGAGTGAGGAGGCTAGAGTTGATAGTATGGAGCTGCAGAAGCTGTAGAGGAGGAGACGGACGGCACAAAGAAGAAGGCGAGCATCGTCAGTGCAGTACGAAGCTGCGAGGAGGTTGAATGTTTAATGTGTAATCAGTTGTACCTCAGCAACCACGGACGACGGAGCAGGCTGAAGAAGCGGCCGAGACAGCTCAAATAGAAGAATGTGATTGCACGCTAGCTAATCTTTTTTTGCCTCGGACGGCTCGCTGTCGGTATGTATGTATAGATATATGCATCACTTACCTCTTTCCCATAGCAATGCTCTGTTTTGCTGTTCGCAGTTCTAGGGTACGATGTGTCAACACCGCATCCCTTGGCTTGATCTCATGGTTATGCCTGCTTGTCCACAACGTGCTTTTTGCAGGCGAGCTGTGAACGTGGTATCATGATTTTTCGTTGTGCAGAGCCTATGTGAGACTTCATTGCTTAATACAAATGCATGGGAGATGCCTCTTCATGCAAAGATGCAGAATCACCTTAAACGAGTCCACAATATCCACCACAAAACCCTCGCTGGGGCACTAAGCTGTGCTAAGACTCCAAACCACGTCTTGAAGTAATTTGGCTCGCATACATATTTAACTTGTCAGAGGCGTGCTCACAGCAGTCACGAAAGCTTCTGGTCAGTTAACACTGGGACTTGGAGCGCTGGGTCAAGATCTAGTTGCATCTGAACATCACTCAGTCAATCATCCTGCGGATACTTCACGCCGTTGGCCTTCCTAACTCGATCCATCAGTCTCATCATCCGAGCCGTCTCCTCTAAAGGCATGATCGCGTTCTCTCTCCTTCCCTCAGCGATATCCAAAGCGACCGCATCGGCTTCGTAATGGAAGCCCATTCCCGGCCTCTCGAACTCAAGCACCTCCTCCTCTACACTCTCATTCAACTTGATCCTGAAGCCAAAAGGCGCTGCCGCAGTGCGTCCAAAGACCGTCACACTCCCAAGATCGCCCTCAACGCGGCAGAAGTCCTCAGGAGACTTGTGGAGGACGGTCGCGGTGCAGATGGCTGTCCGTTGAGGTTGAGTCTCACTCGGCGGATAGGATAAGATGACGACGTCGGAGTAGTCGATACCATCGACTATCGTCATGGTGCTCATTACCTCCGGCTCGCTCGCCTCGACACCAGCTTTGCCATCCAAAATCACGCGGGCGAGGGTCAAGCAGTATATACCGATATCGAGCAGTGCGCCAGCGCCAAGGGCGGGGTCTTTCACTCGCGAGGTCGGCGACAACGTCGACATCTGCATATCAAGCCCAAAGTCGCAGAACAGGCGATGCAGCCCACCGACACGTTTCTCCACGTGCAGGATGCTGTGGAGGGAGGAGACGAGGGGGAAGAAACGCGTCCACACTGCTTCCATGAGGAAGACGCCTTTTTCTTTCGCGGCTGCGATCACGGTCTGGGCTTCTTTTTCATTGATGGTCAAAGGCTTCTCGCAGAGCACATGTTTGCCTGCCGCGATGGCGTCGAGGCAGCTTTGCGCGTGCAGAGCGTGCGGGGTGCCGATGTAGACGATGTCGACGTTTGGGTCGTTGTAGACGGAATGGTAGTCGTCGTAGACGGTTGGCCGGGGGGCGGAGCTTGAGGCTGAGGCCCATATTGTCGAGACGAAGGTATTGCCTTTTTGGGTTGATGAGGACCCGATTGCTACGAAAGAGTGCGAGGCCCGGGCATCGGGACGATCGAGCAGAAGATCACGAGTGAACTCTGTTGCAATCCAGCCGGTTCCTGGTTGTCATCCCTTAGAGCTTGTAGGAGGCGGTAGCTTTCATTCTGCAGTCGTACCTATAACTCCCCAGCGGAGCGACGGTTGGATTTTCTCTGTCATGATGGCGGCTGTGCCTTTCGAGATCTGGTTATTGAGCGTAGAGGTTGTACAAGGGTTTGTGCTTATACATGTCCCCAGGAAGAGTCATATGCAATTCGCTCTATATTGTAGCAATAACACAAGATTTGAGCTGAAGGACAGAAAGAACGACTTGAGAAACTGCGAGAGTGCTCTTTACGAATTATTGAAAGTGGATTGCTGTTGATTGTTATGGTACAGTCCACTGCTACGCCGCTTACATATTCGGCCGCATCTCCGCCAGGTGACGGAACAAGGCCGCTTGTTCGTTCCCAGTCATTCCAAGCTCTGTTCCTCAAAAACATTTGATCAACATGTCTTTCACTTCTTCGAGCCAGTTTTCGAGCGTGAGGTGTCTCTGCTTCTTCATTAATGTGGCACACCTACCTGGCCTTCTCTGCAGAGGAAGAGAGTTCAGGACTGGGGGGGCGAGGGGGCTGTTTGGAGGGAGGCCTGTGACTGTTTTTTTTTCCGCCGCATGTCTCCAGGTTCTCCAAGCCCCTGTTTCCAGTCCCTAATGCGGGGTTGGCTTAGGACGGCGGCAAAACAGCCAGTGGACATTTCAGCGGAGCACTGAGTAGCTGATCAGTCAGGCGTGTTAAAAAGCAGGGCTGTAGCCAGAAGTTGGGATGGGCGCAAATGATACAAGCCAACAGAGCATTTGCAACGGCGCAGAAGTTATCATGACTTATTTCGACGATCTTGTCTTCGAATTAACAATATCTCTCTGCACCTACCTAACTACAGCTACCTACACTACCGCGCACTCCACGCCTCTCCCCCCCAACAGCTCCTCCTTCCTCACTCCGCGCCCTCAATTTCATAAAACTTTCCCAGCAACACTAGCCGTACTCCGATCCTTCGTCTCCACCTTCCTCAACGCACTCTTACTAATCCCCTGAATCTGCCCCAACAACGCGCCCCTATCCCCTCCCCCTCCCCCACTCAGATTCGGCATCGGAGGCGGAGGAGGCGCACCACCAGCCGGCATAGGAGGCGGCGGCGGTGCAGCGCCCGGAAACGCGCCCGGCATCGGTGGAGGCGGCGGCGCGCTTTCCAACGGCATAGGCGGCGCAGGAGGCGGAGACGAGACCTGCGGACTGTCGGGCCGGGGGGACTTGTTGTCCATCGACGACAGCGGGCGCGGCGGCCCCATGGTGCCGAAAAGGATGGAGGCGAGTTGTTTAGCCGAGCCGCCGGTGGGGCGGTCGTCGTCGTCTGAGGAGTCTGCGTCGGTGGTAGTGCTGGCGTCCCAGTCGTCTGTGTTTGATGTGTTTGCTCTGCCGCGCGTGGGACGGGTGGCGGGGGGGGAGGTGGTGTCGAAGGAGGGGGTGCGGGCGGAGTCTTGTGCCGCGATGCGGTGGAAGGGGTTGGTCGAGACTTCGCTTGCTGGTGGGGGGTTTTGCGTCACCTGGGCTTGGACGGCGGCGGCGTCGTTGGCTTGGGCCATTTTCTTTAGGAAGGGGTTCTTAGTTTCTGTGTCGGGCGGAGGGCTTGTGACTGATTGAGGTGAGCTGGCTTGGTGTGGTAGGGGCGGCGCGGTCGGTGGCATGGGTGGTGCTGCTGGCGGTGCGTCTCGCGCAGGCAGTTCTTGGCTGGCGGTTGGTGTGGTATCTTGAGGCGTAATCTGTTGGGGTCCTTCTTCGTCTGAAGAATCCTCATCACCCAATCCCTCGAGCTGCAACTGAAGCTGACGTTCCCGTTCTCGTGCTGCTTCAAGCTCCGCACGCTGAGCGGCTAGACGCGCTTCCTTCGCTTTGGCCTCCTGTTGGGCAGCTTCTCTTCGTCGCTTCTCCTCTTGCTTCTTCACTTTGCCTGCTTTTACCTGCTCTTCGAGGGCACGCAGACGGGCCTGAGCGGCCTCTCGCTCTTGAGCAAGCTCTCGTTCTTGCCGCTGCTCTTCGTCTCTGTAAAGAACATTAGCCTGTTGCATTTAGTATAGCATTTGGAGAATATCGCATACTCCATCTGCTTCGTCTCTGCTTCCTGCGCCTCTTGCTGCTCCCTCAGAGCTTGACCAGCAATCTCGTTGTCAGCACGCTTCATCTCTGCTTGCCACTGATTCTTATCGCTCTGAGGCGCTTCGGCCTTGTTCTTGCGAGATGGTGGTGGCGGAGGTTTCTTAGCATCGGCTTTACCGACTGAGGGTGGGATGACGCCCTCAGCCTCCAGCCGCTGCAACCGCTCTTGCTCGCGCCGTTGGTCTTCCTCTTCAGCCTGGCGAAGGCGATCTTCTCGTTCCTTCTTCTCACGCTCCTGCCGTTGCTGCGCCGTCTCACCAGACTTGCTAGGAGCGCGGAGACCGAGCGCTGCAAGACGTTCTGCCATGCGTTGTTCGGCTTGCTGCTTGATGAACGCTGCGCGCTCTTCCGCTGTCTTGTATGACGAGTAAGACGTGCCAGTAGAGGATGGAGTTACTGCAGGGCGAGAGGTCTCCGAGCTAGGCGCTGGACTGTCGTTGCGTGTCGTCGTTGAAGGTCTGCTTGACTCATCACGCGCGGAGGGTGATGCGTAACGATCCCGCGAATCACGGCCCGTGCTATTCGAGGATTAGCGGACAGATCAGCGTGCAACAAGGGCGGGACATACTCTTCTTTCCGGACCTTAGTCGCCCTGCTACTCCTCTGCAGATCAAAGATGAAATCCTTAACCTCATCCTCGACACCCAGACCATCTTCCCACCTTCTACGCTCATGCTCACTAGACGCGTCCTGTGCCCCTTCCTTCAGGCTGTCTTCGAGACCCTTACCAAATTCATTAACGCTGTCCTCAACGTCCTGGACCATACGCTCATTGGTTTCTCTCTCGCTCTTAATACGGGAGCTCTCCTCTTCAAGCCGCCTCGCTGCGCCCTCGGCATCGTCGCCAGTCGCTACTTTCTCGCCTCGCAGGGCTGCAGACCGTTGCTGCATCATAGCTCTTGCGCGCGCTTTCAATCGGTCAGACTCGGTGACTGCACCGCCGGGTCCACTACCGACGATAGCAGCCGCGGCGTTTGGATGTGCCTTTGCGTCCTTCAGCCGGAACAGTTCGAGCTGGGCGTCCGCAATGGCGCGCTCTGTGCGTCTGACATGAGACGCCAGCTCTGGCAGCCGATCTCTTAGGCCTTGCAGCTGTCGCCGGAGTGTCCTACGTTCCGCGTCAGAGTCGCCTGAGTGGAGAGCAGCGCTCGGGTGATTATCGATGTCCTCCTGTATACGCCTGATCCGGTGGTAGAGATCCTCAGCATCGCGTCGGTCTTTGCGGTCGAGTGCATCATCCTGCTCTGCCGCATTCTCGTCCTGAAAGTCGATGGCATCGAGAAGCACCTGCTTCTCGCGAATCATCTTGCGCAGCTGATCGATGGACGGCTCATCAACCGAACGCTCAGACTGGGGAGACGATGGTGCAGCGGGGGAAGGCGAACGCCCACCAGCGCCAATGCGATGGCGAGCACTTGACTTGTAGCCAACCATGTCATCGTCATTGTTGCGGAAGACCGTGGCATCTTTCCGACCCGCAGCAAGTGGGCTTGGGGCACGAAAAGAGTGGGTCTTGAGGTAGCTTACACCTGTTCTTTGTGGTTGCAGGAAGGCGCCGGAATTCTTTCTCTCCTCTGCATCCCTAGAGATCAGAGACTTCATGGCACCTACAGAGTCGTTGAAGTTCCTCGTCGACGGAGGGACCAGCTCCGGTGGGAGCCGATTGGGAACCGGGTATCCGTTGAGTTTACGATAGATGAGATGCATGGCAACCGCAAACTCGTCCAGATTGAGCCTGCCCTTGTTGTTTGGGTCCGACAGCGTCCAAATCCGCTCAAGATCTGCCTTGTCCAGCCCACTTTGACCGAAAATCTCGATTGCCTGATCACCAGTGACGTAGCCCTTGCCAAACCCATCCCATGCCTTGAAGAGGTCGTCGTAGATTCTTTTCTCATCCTTCGTGACTGCCCACGGTACGGTTGCGTTGCCGCGAAGACCGGTTGTTGTGAAGCCAGCTTCCCGGCCAGGCTGCGGCATCATCTGCTGTTGCAACGCCTGGATGTTCGGGAGACCGGATGCAGGCGCGTTGACTAGGCCCCACTGGCCGGGCATACCGGTGGGCTGAGCATTCAGGGGAGCAATCATGCCAGTTTGCTGAGGAGAGAGACCTGTACCGAACCCGGATGGCATGGGTGGCATAGGTGGTCGAGGCCCATTGTAACCAGTGGCTTGAGGCATGGCGCCAAAACCAGTGAGTTGCGGTTGGAGACCTGTAGGCTGCTGGCCAAATCCAGCCTGTCCCGGAAAGCCTGTCATCTGAGGCTGCATGCCGGTAGGCTGGGGCGCTAGTGTGGATAGCAGCTGGCTGTTCGATATTTGAGGCTGTGGCTGCTGTATCGTAGGCGGAGATGCTGCATTCTGCCTTAGAGGCGCATCGAAGTTCGGAGCGTTGCTTTTCGGGGGCGCTTGCGGTCGGTCGTCTGCCACGTTGAACGATATAATGTCCACCATGCTCGACACCTCGTTCTTTATGCGGTCCGGTATCGTGTTTGGAAGCTCCTTGCCAACGAGCTTGAGGTTGCACAAGTACATGGCGAGGGCGAACTCTGGAAAGAGGAGCTGTCCTGATTTGGTTGTGTCTGATAAAGTCCTACAATTCTTTAGTACCAGCGTCGCTACCTCCCTGGGTACCGCACGTACCAAATATGAGACAGAGCGTCTCCCGGCAAGTTCGATCGTAGGAGCAGTTCTCTCGCCTTGTCACCGGAGAGCGCCTGCTCAGTGCCTACAGCAGATTTGAATAGCTGCTCGAATTTGGCCTGGTCAGTCGCCGCGATAAATGACAGTCTGATATTCGGTATCTTCGAGGCACCGCCTGTCGAAGCTTTCCTTGGAGCAGCGGGTGCGGATGCCGATCTAAACGAATCTGCCACCTGCGCAGAGGTCATTCCCGTGGGCTGTGGCCGCTGAGACTGAGCAGGGGGTGGCATGCTCTGCTGTCCAGTCTGGAAGGCCTGCTGCTGTGGAGGCTGTTGAGGCTGCTGGAAAGCCTGCTGCTGTTGGCCCGGGTAGCCAGTAAACTGTGGCTGCATTGGCTGTTGCTGCTGCCCGAAGCCCTGCTGTTGGGGCGGATACCCTGTGAACTGAGGCTGTAATTGGGGCCCGCCAAAGCCTGTGGGTTGCGCACCGAAGCCTGTAGGCTGCTGGAAGGACTGCTGTTGCTGCTGGCCATACTGAGGACCGCCGCGCTGGCTGTTGGCGCCGCCGAGGAAGGAGCTTGAGCCGGAAAACATGATGGCGTGAGACTGTGGTGCCGAATGCAGTTACATGCGGCGTATTCGATGCCCGGTGGCTCGGTGGTGGTCGTCGTGGTGCTGGAGTGGAGGAGGAGGAGTGTTCGACAAGGAGGTTCGGTGGTTTGGTGGTTTGGTGGTTGCGGCGGACTGGCAGCATCCCCGGAGCGACTGGATGCTCGTGCTCGACTAGCGCCGTCATCCGCCAAGGCCCAGCTGGCTGAGCCTCAGAGATGCATACGAGTACAATTCTCTCGTTCCTATACAATTGGATCATCAAAGAAATGAGCGGACAGCAGGACGGAGATAAGCCGGATAAGTCTGGCGAGGCTGATATGGCCCAGGTAACTGCGGCTACATGCTCAACTGCGTATCAGCTAACAATGTCCAGGCATTCAAAGATCTTGCCCGAGGGGAGCAGACGGCATCAGTCCTCGAGAACCATTTGACGGCCCTCGAACGCAAGATTGATGAGCTGCTTGCCAAAGCCGACGAGGACCAGAGAGCCTCTCAACACCGTCCGGAGATCAACGCGAACAATTCTAAGCAAACCACGAGCGGATCCTCGGATGCGAGCGGCAGCTGAGAAACGTCGATATTACTTGGGCAAATTGCTTGCCTCTCGAACAAGATGCGGCAGACGCTGAGAAAGTCAACCGCCTTGCCCGACAGCGTTACGCTTCCTCATCGGACAGCGGCACAAATCCACAGATCAAATTACAAGAGGCAGCACTGCGGATACATGCGGTAGCAGCAGAGAAGTGGCGAGCAGTATCGAGGGCACGCTGTCGTCTGCGGCAGTCACTGTATCGGTGTAGAGGCTTCCATACCTGAGAACAGGTTAAACTCATAGAAAGAGCTGCTATCATATCCCTCCAATGGTCGAGGGCTTATCTAGTGGGGTATCGTCAAACAAGCGTTGCAAATTAAAACCTCCGTCACTCCCCTTCTCCACCACTCCAACTTCCGTGATTATACCATCGATAAGCTCCGCGGGCGTCACATCAAATGCCGGGTTCCATACGCCAATGCCATTCGCCGCAATGCTAACCGTCTCGACGTTCTGCAGGTCCAGCGAAGCCCCGTCGTGTCGCGGGCCCTTGATCATAGTCACCTCCTTGCCCGGCCGCTCTTCTATCACAATGCCCTCGCCGCTCTGAGTGTCCAGATCTATCGTCGTCCTGGGCGCAGCAACCAAGAACTTGACACCGTGATGCTTTGCTGCTATCGCTAGCGAGTACGTGCCTATCTTGTTTGCAGTATCGCCGTTGGCAGCCACCCGATCGGCGCCCACTACGATAGCCGCAATGCGCTCTGATGGTCCTTTGAGCCGTAGCAGGGCGGCAGCCATTGAATCGGTGACAAGAGTTGCAGGAATATTATCATGAACAAGCTCAAAGGCAGTCAACCTGGAGCCTTGGTTGTACGGCCGAGTCTCGGTGCAGAAGGCGTGCTTGAGGGAGCCGTTGGAGTGAAGAGATCGGATGACACCAAGGGCCGTGCCATAACCTGCTGTGGCGAGAGATCTTCTACTGTCAGCAAGCTTACACCAAGCGGACGGTTCACACACATACCCAGTGTTGCAATGCGTCAACATGCTGACTTGCCCGCTCTTCCCTACCTCCGTGTTTTTCACTACCCACTCGGCACCATGTTTACCGATAGCCTCGTTATCCTGTACATCGTCCACCAACATCTTCTCCGCGGCCTTGATGTACGCTTCCTTTACGGCCTCTCCCGATACACTGTCGTCCTTCGCAGCTTCCTCGACAGCCTTCTTCAGCTTTCGTGCCGCATCCGCCAGATTCACTGCCGTCGGTCTGCTCGTAACCAGGTATTCCAGCTTCTCCTCAATGAACACCTTGACCTCCTCTCCAAACTGCGAGAGCTCGCCCTTGGTCGCGATATTCTCAAGCTCGACTGCCAGGGCCAACGCCGCAACGATTGCTATTGCCGGCGCGCCGCGCGTGCGCATTTCCTTGATGGCGTGCCATGCATCGGTGCTGGTGCGGATATCGTCGTAGACTTCGGCGTGAGGAAGTTTCAGCTGGTCCAGAATCTGGAGGGAGCCGCGCGTGTACTTTATTGCTTGGAGAACCATCTTCCCGATCTCCTGAAGCTTGGTTCCATGCAGATGTCACGGAAAACTTCATCCCCACCATACTGCCAAGAGAACCCTGGGCAGAAAGGAAAGGCGGTACGGCCCGCTAGGAACCAGCTTGAATCATGACGTTTTGTATCCTTGTGCCCCACCACGCTTTTCTGTCCCTTAAATTCATCAATCTACTCCCATGCCCCTCTTCCGACCACAGTCCCTCACCTCCGTCCTAAAGTCCCTCACACCAACCCGCACAATGTCGTCCTCCACTCTCTCCCTCAAATCCACCCTCCCACTCCCCAACTCCAAGCACGAGATCCCCCGCCTCGGCTTCGGCGTCTACCAATCCCATGACCAAACCTGCGTAAAATCCTGCCTCACCGCACTGAAAGCAGGCTACCGCCACATCGACACGGCACAGTACTACGCCAACGAGTCGCTGGTCGGAGACGCGGTGCGGCAATCGGGTGTTCCACGCTCCGAGGTCTACATCACGACGAAGATCCTGTCGCCCGGGTCGGACGCGGAGAGCACGTACAAGAGCGTTGTGGAGAGCGTGGAGAAGATTGACGGCGGTAAGGATGGGTACGTGGATCTGTTCTTGATCCATAGCCCGAACGGGGGGAGGGACGCAAGGAAGTTGATGTGGCAGGCGTTGGAAAGGGCAAGGAAGGAGGGGAAGGTGAGGGATATTGGGGTTAGTAACTTTGGGAAGGGGCATATTAAGGAGTTGAAGGAGTGGGCGGAGGTGTGGCCGCCGGCTGTTAATCAGATTGAGGTCAGTTGCTGCTCTGCTTTCGGGGCGGGACTGGGTTGTGTGCGCGAGTGTGCGGGCTGATTGTATACGGTAGCTCCATCCGTGGTGCCAGCAGCGTACCGCTGTCTCCTACTGTGAGGAGAAGGGTATCGTGGTGGAAGCGTACTGCCCACTCGTCCGGAACCAGAAGGCGGATGACAAGACGCTCAAAGCGCTCGCGGAGAAGTATCAAAAATCAACTGGCCAGATCCTCATCAGGTACTGCTTGCAGAAGAACTGGGTGCCGCTGCCGAAGAGCGACACACCGAGCCGTATTGAGGCCAATGCGGATGTGTATGGTTTCGACATCAGCAAGGAGGATATGGAAACGCTAGACGGGCTGGATCAAGGAGACAAGGGGGCGATTGTGCAGGCTGTAACGAACTAAGATAGAAGAGATTATACAAGACGAAGAGAAGTGCATAGAGTGCAGATAGTTGTAAGTTACCATTTGCCCGCCAAAATCTCGGGAATCACCTCTGGGACAATGGTCCAATTCTGTGAACCCTCTGCGTCTTGTTCCGCAGTTGCTTCCTCTACCGAGTGCTCTTATTCTCGCTAGCGCTGTTCCCTAACTTTCTTGAACGCATCAGCGAACTTGCTAAACACCTGGCGTGTGTCTTGACCGATATTCTCAATCCGTTCGCCCGATTTCTCTATTTGTTCTCTCCCTTCCTCGTTCAAATTGCGCGTTTCGCGCTCTGCTTCCTCTTGGTACCTCTCCCGCGCTTCTTCAACGAACGCCACCTCTCGATCCATCATCTCGAGGCGCCCGAGCAGCGCGTCTCTCACAGCTTCCGCCGCTCTCGCGTTCGCTCGATCCACCTCTTGCTTGATGCGTACCACTTCGGTGACGAGAGTAGTTATCGATGGCGTCGTTGCGTCTAGGCCAGACGCCGAGGTTCTCTCACAAGCCACCAATACCACCTGGGCAGCCCTTTTGCAATCAGTCGTCACCGCTCGGCACTACAACCGCATCTAACTGCTTGGAGTATTCCGTTCTACTCTTAGTACTATGCCGGTTGGTTATGCTGGGCGCCGTTCTAATCTGCTGACAATTTTATGACGGCTCGGCGAGTCAAATCACTATACGAGTTTGTGTATACTTTGCTTTCTCGACGAGCTGACGCCGACAGAAAAGCTTTACTAAGCATATGCCAGCGAAGAACTGTCCATCCTCTCTGTCCCTCTTATGCAGAATTCCAAGGCCCCCACGTCTGTAATCTTTCTCACGAACAGCCTCAAGCTTGCCAGAGATCACATCTGGCGGTCTGACCAAGGCCTCGACTTCTACCGTCATGCGAGGACTTGGTTCCACGTGGCTCCTACAAGCTTTATAAAGGCTCCCTTGATCAAGCCCTGAAAGCCTTCCACATCATGAAACCAACTACCAAAGATATATGGAGATGGCTTCCGCGAATGGGAAACGCATAGGAAGAGGAAGAAAAGTGTGGCGGCGGCGAAGAGCGCTGAATTCCCAGCGCGCATGGATATCAAGGTGTCGAGCGAGGAGCTGGTGGAGAGGGCGGGGCGTATTGTGGCCCTCCAGGCGGAGATACCAGCAAAACGTGAGCCTATTGACCGTAAATTTGACCGCCTGGTCCGCAAGATCCTGATCGCTTTCACGTTTCTTTCAGTCAAAGTTTTCTTAGGGGCAATGGTAATGATGGTCCTTTTCCATCCGTACCCTTCGCATTCGTACAAGATAGCAGTCTGCTGAAAGGGGCATAACCAAGGTGAAGGTAAGCATAGGAGAATCTCTAAAGGAGTATGTTGCGAAAAGATTTGTGCTTTGAAAGGAGGTTTTGATGCCCTGGAAGAAGCCATCACCATGAACGCCACCGATCCAAGCTTGCACATTGAAGATTCACTTACGGCGAAGCTCCTCACGAAGGGAAAGGACATCATGGATATGGTCTACAAATACCGCGACTTGCTGTGCGGGAGCACCCTGGATGACTTCCCTGCTCTTTCCAACGACTACATCAACACGACATTGCAGCGGAACAACCAGGTCATGCACTACAACGCCCTGACCACCCTCATTCTGGAGGCACGCATCAAGCGCGACGCAAGCCAGCATACCCAGGTGACGCTTGGGTCTGAAGAAGCCATGCCAATCAATACGGAGATACCTGCACTAGCTGTTTCAATCAAGAGCAATTACCTCAGTCACACTCCGCAAATGCTAGAGAGGAGGCTCACGCACAGCCCGGCCCGTTCGCGCTGTAAAGAATCGGCAATTCTGCCGTGTGGAACCAGCAACCAGACCTCAGTAAGGTGGCTAAGGCATGGTTGAAGCTTCCCGGATTGAGTAAGAGCTTCAAGGGAGGTTGATTGATCTTGGTCCGTCTGCGTGAGTACGGCACGCCGTTAAGGTCACAGCATAAAACTTTCTGGGCTATGATGCGTGCTATCATGATGGCTGTTTGCGGGCTTTGCAGAGTCCAAGCAAAGAAAGAACTCCTAGTGAAGCGTCTTATTACCACACCTGTTTGATCATGCAAAGACAAATCAGTAGAATCACCTGGAGTCTGTAAGAATATCACGCAAGCTAAAGACATTGCTAGCAACACCATTAATAACCCTCTCTTGTACCGTTCATAACTGCAGTTGTCGGCTCACTTCCTGCATCAAGCGCTTACGCCTGGCATACCTTCATGAGTACTAATTCTATCTGGCCCAAGTCCGGCCTACGCTACAGTAAAGAACAGCTGCAACTGGTCGCGCCGCTAGAATGGCTCGATTTTGAGTCACAGGCCATTTACAAGATCAACAACAATATCGTCAAGACCGGCGGCAACACCGAAATGGCAGAAGCCCTGACTATGAAGATCGTCAGCGAGAAGACGAGTGTTCCTGTGCCCAGAGTCCTCAACGCCTACCGACACGAATCTGGCAATGGCGGGACCCACGGCACCATAATCATGGAACAAGTCAAAGGGGAAGAGCTGGGAAATATCTGGGACGATATGACATCCGAAGAGAAATCCGCGATCATTGAACAGCTCCGCGGTTATATGGAGGAGTTGCACGCCATTGAAGGGTATTTCATCGGCTCGGTCAACAACACTATGTGTGAGGACCTGATGCTCAATCTCCATCTAGGAGCATTCGATCGCTACGACAACGAAGCCTCTTTCCACGAAGACATCATCAAAGCCTTGAGGAAGTACGAAGACGAGGAATCTGCCAAGTGGCGCAGCGGTCAAAGAGAGTTGCTGAAAGGGCCGAAGGTCGATCTTGTTGCAGATTTCTTCCACGCACTTCCTCCGCACAAGATTGTCCTTACGCATGGGAATCTCAAGCCGCGAAATATCCTAGTCCGTGAGGGTAAGGTAGTCGCAATCACAGGCTGGGATGCTGCGGGCTACTACCCGGAATATTGGGACTACATGAAAGCTTATTACAAGGCGTTCCCGGGTTGTAGGTGGGACAGAGACCGTGCAAGCGACTTTGACTGGCACAAGGACCGAGCAATCGACAAGATCCTCAAGCCGTTTCCTCTGGAGCTTGCCGTGCTGATGCATGCTCAGAATGTCCTGCAGTAGTGTGCGCTTCAGTGCACCAGAGAACAGACTGGCGGTGTGGAGAATGTCAGTGTACGTAAGGGAAGGAGGGAACATGTAGACAGTACCTTCGACGGATGCAGCTGTACCCATTAGCACTCTCTGAATACAAACTTCAACACCGACCTTCCGCTCTTGCACCTCAGAGTCCTTCGGTCAACCGTCGAAAGTAGAAGAACAAGGCAACTTCATGCGAACGATGTGACTATGCAATGAAAAGGTGGGTTTAGACAACAATTGGAGTGCCTGAAGACCAACGAGATACCAAGCAGTAAATGAGAACAAATCATCATGACGCTGGAATCCTTTTGATACAAGTGGGCCGGATTTAGAGTACGGCAAGCGGCATTTGAACATCTTCAAGAGGCTTTTTATTACCACTACAACAAGTACGCGCTGAGACACGCTCCCATTAATAAAACCAAGCTCCGACTTTAATCAAAACGTACGCCTCTCGCTTCGAACGCTCAAACTTTAGGTAATTGCGGCCCCAGAGAGCTGACCACAGTCCACAATGACAACGTCCCTTAGCGGACGATCTCCGGGCCCCTTCGGCGTGTTCTCGATCGTCCTGACAACATCCATTCCGTCGATGACTTGGCCAAATACAACATGCTTGCCGTCCAAATGCGGAGTTGGGACCGTCGTGAGAAAGAATTGGCAACCGTTGGTGTTCGGCCCGGAGTTCTGACGGAGCATTAGAAACCAATTGGGGGCAGGGAAGGATGGGGAACAGTAAAGATGCACGTACCGCCATACTCAGAAGTCCGGGTTTGGTGTGCTTCAGCTCGAAGTTCTCGTCATCGAACGAGTCTCCGTAAATACATACTCGACCTGTGCCGTCACCGTTGACGAAATCGCCGCCCTGGCACATGAAGTTGGGGATCTGTGAAGTTTGATTGTCAGCCTGGCGTTTCTAAACTGGATACTTGCTGTATGATATTGTATGCATTGGTACGGGTCGATAAGTGTAGCAGAAGGTTGCACACATCGGCCACCAAGCACGTGAACACGTGATGGAGGGTAAGCAGACGGAGCCAACTAGTAGATACGTACAACTCGGTGGAAGATGCTTCCTTTGTAGCCTTGGGAGCGTCCGTTGCGGTCTTTGTATTCGCCAGTACAGAATCGCCTGAAGTTCTCTGCTGTTGCCGGCACAACGTTTACAAAGAGCTCCAGCTGTATGCGCCCTACGGGTTGACCTGTGTGGAGTTAGCCAGGCCCAACTCATCAGATTCTGGAGGAGACAATGAATGGATTTGATAGTTTTGATATCTAGAGAAGATCATAATGGCGAGAAAGACAGCCGCAAAACATGGCGAAGACAATCTAATGATGGAATGATACTGGTGCTTGAGAAAAGGAAGAGACATACCACCAATAGCAACATCGAAGTAAACCACAGGGTTCATCGGATTCGAGGGACTCGCTACTTTCCTCGAGGGTGCAGCTGCAGGAGCCGCATTTGTCGAAGCGGCATTCGCGGTCCTCGCGGGCGGATTGTGTGCTGTGTTACTCGTTGGTGCAGTATGTGATGTTGCAGCAGGTCTTGCGTTGACATCGCCCTGCTCAGCGCCGCGGCTCGACTTGCTGGGCCCGCAACCCATGATTGTGGATAGCGCTGAGGGTCTTCCAATGGAGGTGTAGCACGAGTCGCACAGATATTAATGTTCAGTTGGGATAGGGTGGGTCAGAAAGTCAACAGCAACCAGGTTGGAAGCGAGAGAAGCAGGTATCCCTGAGGGTGGGCCAGCAAATCTTTAAATGGCGATTGCTCAAATTGGCAATAAGGGTGATGCGTTCGAATACCCTGTTGGCTCGACCAAGCTTTTTCCAGTTCGTGGGACTATGATGTCATTAGCCGTCTGGACCGTCGCACTAGGAACCTTATTTGCAATGTTGAGAACGGTGACTTCTTACCTCTGCTGTATGATCTGATGGCAGACTTCGGAACTACTTTGTGCGAGTAATTGCGACCCGCCGAAGCTGTGTTTGCTGTCCGCAGTCGGACTTCAGGTTAAGTGACGAGCCGGGGAAGAAGTCTTACTTGCCACGCCCGGACTCTCAGGGTGTATATCTCCCTCCTCCAAAGCGTCCCACCTGCGCTCAAATATGATAGACTTGAGCTTTGTTGCTCCATCTCAAACACCTAAGCGACATGGTAGAGACTTATTCATGTTCATGGCATTGAGTCGGTTCCATCCTGAAAATCAATCCTCGATTGCGGGTTGCTCGAAACTGCGGTACTAAAGTAACCGGACAATGCTTAATTAAAACCATTCAATGCTTGATCTTATGGTGTAAACTTGGCGCTACGGTCTTTTTGGATGGTCTTTTACGGTTTCGCCTGACTCACATCTTAAACCGTGGAACGGTTAACTAAGCGGGTACTCAAAGCAATATATAATCTCAAGCGTCCGCCTCGTTCAAACTAATCACAACAGCGAGCGAAAAATCACGCTCTCCACTGCTACAACATCTCATCATCCATTCTGAGGAAGCATTAGTAACAGCACTTTCTATCAAAATGGAGCAACCTCAAGCTTCACTTCCTCAAGGCAAGACGGCGGGAAGCAAGAAAGGCTATCCAGAGCCACTTGTCATACTCCCCTCAACAAACCACACCCACAGCATCATCCTCCTCCACGGCCGCGGAAGCAACGCGACACGCTTCGGCCTCGAGCTCCTAAAAGCCAAGACATCCACCGGCCCGACGCTTCAAGAGCTCTTCCCCGGCGCCAAGTTTATCTTTCCCACGGCAAAGAAACGCCGTTCGACAGCCTTAAAGCGTATCCCAATCAACCAATGGTTCGACAATTACTCACTCGAGGATCCCGCTCAGCGGCTGGATCTGCAGTATGACGGCCTGCGGGAGACCTCTGCTTTTGTCCACGCGCTGATTCGTGCGGAGGCGAAAGCAGTCGGGCTGCGCAATGTCATTCTCGGCGGGCTCAGCCAGGGCTGTGCGATGTCTCTGCACATATCGCTGAATTACGATCCTAGCGAAGTCGAGAGAGCGTCAGATGAAGGCGGGCCTCCGTCGCTCGGCGGATATATCGGCATGAGCGGATGGCTTCCATTCGCTGAAAACATCAGCTCAGCTGCCGTGCCCGCCAAGGAAGACGGACAGGATGCTGATGACACCGACCCCTTCGGTAGTGCTGACTGCCCGGATGACGACGAAGGGGTGGATGATTCAGTTCAAGCTCGGCAGCTTCGAGCTGCAAACTTCGCGAGAGACATTGTTGACCTTGATCCGCTGGATAAAGACGAACAGCCAGTGCCATCATTCGCGAGTGTACCCTACCTCTTGGGTCATGGAACGGCGGACGAGAAGGTGTCGGTGCGCCTGGGTGAGCAGGCGAGAGATGTACTCCTGCAGCTTGGATTGGATGTGACGTGGAGGGCGTACCAGGAATTTGGGCATTGGTACAAGGAGCCGGATGAGATAGATGATATCGTACAATTCTTGCGGGAGAAGGTTGGAATGACGCCTGCGCGATCGGAATAACTTAACAGTAGTCAATGTATGAATCCGGCACTGAGGCTTGCACCAAGCCAAAGATGCGCTCTAATACCTCCGTAGCTTGTTGAATCGGCCTACAGAAGCAGATAGGCAGGTCGAACATCCCATCGCGTTCAAGGTGCGCAGCAACGTAAGTGTGTGATCCGCGAATCACCTTGAAATTGCCGCCGATAGGCGGTTCATATTACTAGCATCGCATGCAAACTCTCTTTGTATAGCGCCCAACCTCTGCCGGGCCATTGCGTCACCTCTGTCTATCCGCCGCCAGTTCGACCCTATGTTCAGAATGGAGCTCTTGCATCTTATGTATATCCGGGACAGGATGCTGCCCGTTCCACATTAGCGGTATGGAAGAATGCTGCTCCTGCGCCGCCTGCGATCCCTTGGACGTCTTCTTTCTCCGCACCGCCCGAGCAACTACGATCCCGAGGCCGAGGAAGAGCAACGCTCCGATAGCTGCACCTACTCCGATGCCCGCCTTGGCGCCGGTCGACAGCCCGTTGTTGTGTGAGGTAGACGCCGGGGCTGAGGACGTTTGGGTTGATGGGGAGGTTGAGCTTGCGGCTTCGCCCAGGACCAAAGGTATGGAGACGGCGTCCGGATGGTTCGGCCAGGACAAACAGCAGCTGCTACTATTACGCCCGCAGCACCATTTCGTGGTGTTGTAGTTGTTATAGTCGCAGGGGGTTATCCTACTGTGTCTACCCTAGGTACAAGATTCTCGTAAGTCACCTAACCTTGGTATGGCTCTCAGTAGGTCTATTCTGCTTGAGATGTAGCGAGGCGTACCTACCGAAGCGGTCTCACACACGTTCATCAGACAACCTTTCCAGTCCGGTGAGCTGCATGAATCGCGGAAGTAGTCATAATGTTCCCGGCCTTGAGAATCGACGTACACGTTCTGGCAGAGACCGTTTGGTAAACAGCTATCTCTCACATCGCGCCCTGTACCGGGCGCGTTGGTCCTGTTCGTCGCGCAGCACATTGACGTGGGCCCGGAGGCGGAATTACATGGTTGATAGTCCAGATCCGTGACTAGAGAGCTGTCGGCGTAGTAGCAGGCCGCTACTACCTGACGGGCGAATGCGAAGGAAAGCGTAGAAGAAAGACAAGGGAGATTATTGAGCAACATTGCTCTCTCGTATGATTTAGGAACTGATTACATTCGAGAAACCAAGAGAGAGGGTTAAGATAGAGGAAGGAGCGCCAAAAATGGGAGTGCGGTGGGACAGGGTCAACCGGTTACGATGGACCAGGCGGCACTGCCTGACGCGGGGCGCCCGCATCCTTACGACTCTATTTTAAGGTCTTAATGAGAATAACTCGTATTCCAAAGTCTCTAGGTAAGCAAGGCTCTACATATTGGATTGAAAAAAAACGCAAGAAGCTGACAGATGACTACGCGTACGGTGAAACTTTAAAGAAGTACTAGAAGTCCTCACAAGATAAGTGCGCGGATATCTCACATGAATTGGATAGAGTCATTTCGTAATCGTGAGTTTTAAAACGAAGTTGCTTGATCATCGAACGCGGTGGGAAGTAGAATTGATAGTTTCTGATCAGAGCCACTCAGAGCGTCTGCGCAAAATGCGAGAAATGCGTGCTGGTGGTTCCTCGGTTTGGCGGTTTGGCAATTTGGCGGTGGCTTGTCGTACAACGTCAATCCAACCGCCACACTGCCTCCCGAGGCCGTACAGCGCCTTAACACGTCCGATGGGTAGTACCGCCGTCTACATGAGTTCTCAGCTACCGGGCCAGCAACTGATTGGTCCCAAGGATGTGGCTCTCAAAGCTTGAACCACAATACCTTCAGAGACAAGCTCTGAGGCGCTAATGCGGACTATCAATCGGACGTGGGAGGCTGGTGTAGATGAAGCATGGAGGAGATACTGTGGTGGGCTGTGCAAGGCTGTTTCAGCCTTGTTCAAGCAGTCAGACAAAACCAGACGTAAGACGCTGGCCAAACCTGTGCTGGGCTGTTTGCAGCTCTTCCCATTTCGCCGAAGTGTAAGCTCGTATCGGACTCCTCTATAGAGCTCAATGTCATTCGCTACTAGCAACTGCGGCCATGCTACGGACTAGCAACCCACTGGCAAGCGTACGAGGCTGCCAACACGGATACTAACCTTCGTGCCTGGTGTCAGCAGCTGACTTCTTTACCAAATTACACATCATTTACGAACGAGCTTGGAATATCTTTTGACGTGGAGTCAATCGGTACAGCAATTGCATATCACCCGGTTGCTCTGGTATGTTTCCATTCTTGAATTCGACGCTCGACTGACATTTATAAATTACTAAAACATCGGGGATCTAAACTGGGTATACCTCACGCTGGTCGAGACCAGCGTGTCCAACAAACCGTCGGACGGTCGGAAACGGTTGGACGGTCGGCTATTTCGCCAACCAACCGTCGAGTAATTTATAGCCGTCCAACCATCCGCGAAGGGCCGACGTTTGGTGTTAAAACGGTCAAACGGCTTGGCATAGGGCTGCTAGTGGTTCTAGGCTTAGAAAGTCATCACGTGGTGTTCTTAGCCTTGAAGAATCACGTGGTGGTAAGGTAAGGTCGGGATAACCATCTTTCGGCACCCGCTTTGCGAGCTAAGCGCCTCGCTTAATAGCTCTATTACCCTTTAGGTATAGATCCCCCTAAGCCCTGTCTAACCGTCTAACGGAGCATTCTTTAAGCCCGGTCGCCGTCCAACCGTTTGCGGTCCGGTTTGACCCCCGACCAACCCGTTTGAACCCTCTGACAACGACGGACGGTTTGTTGGTCTCGACCATCAACATAAATATTCTCTTTAAGTCCATCCACGTACGTAAGGAACTAGTGATATCAAACGTTGCTTACACAGTTCAGGATGGTGTATCAGACGGTCAACAAGGCTTCAGTGATCGAGTAGAAGGGCTCGCTGAGACTTTCTTCCCATGTTCAGAGCCAAAGTTCGCCTTTGGTGAGGCGGCGTTCTGGTTTGTAGCTGCAATTGCGATGCTCGTGGGGATCGTCCCTGGCCTTGCCCCGGGTATGGTTGTGGGTGTGCCGGCCTTTGCTGGGGTGGGTGTACAGCATGCATCATATGCCCTTGAGCTAGAGTAAGGACGCCGATTCTCAGTTGCGCCTTGCTAAGGCTATCCAGGCCCAACACTGGCCTTCAAACATTGGCCGAAATGAGTAACTATGCTGCCAGCTTCGGGGAGACAACCCGCACAGCTATGGATATGGTCCAATAAGACCTTTACAGGAGAATTAGATAGATGGGGCAAAAACATACTGTAGGTTCTCTTGTGGATGATACACGAATCTCAATTGATATCGGCAAGTGATTGTGTGTTGAAGAGGTCCTGGAGTAGTTGTCGAGACAGCTTCATGGGATTAAATTCAGACAGCAAGGTCGCCACGCTCGGTGTATATTATACACCGAGCGTGGCTCTCAATCGGGGCGTACGGCCGGTGCTTTCGTCACAGCCTTTGTCTTTGCGCTTGCTACGCCGGCCATTACCGCCCATCGTCTCACTTGTGGCTCTTTGCATGACCTCTTGAAGCGTTGCTTTGGTTGAGGGCAGGAGCAAGAATGCATGAGAAAGCTGCAGCATCGCTCTTGGCGACCGGAGCCCGACGGATCCCGACAAGAAGGCAATACGTCAACGACATTCCAGGAGACCGGTTCGGGTGTTTCGTGGCCGCCATATGAATACATAACAATATGCCCACAAAGCGTGCTCTGAAACGTCCATAGAAGTCGACATCTCCCACATCGTGACCGAGATGCCTACACACGCGGTAAGTGCGAAGCGTGGCCACATCCATGAGCATATGGCCAATGACGCCGATGTAAATATATCGGCTAACTCGCGCATTTTCACGCACAAAGATCTTAGGAGCAACAGGCTCAACAGGAGCCGCGACTCTGCACTATCTCCTCGAAACACAGCCGGAAGACTTACGGATCAACATCTTCGTTCGGAACAAAGCGAAGCTCCTGTCGGCATTCCCTCAGCTAGAGAAGATAACGAGCCCAGAGATCCACATCTACGTTGCGCCCATCACGGATCGCGAGACGCTCACGGAATGCCTTCACGGAGCAGAAGTGATCTACAACTGCATCGCGGGCAACCGATCCAAGCGCGGAATGGACATCGCCCAACAGGGAGCAGCAGGCATCATCGACGCACTCAAGCGACTCAAAACCGAAGATCTCGAAGAGCCGCCAACCGTGCTGGTGAACCGGACCATGTTCTATAACGAAACCATCGACAACGACATGTCCGGTTTCCAGAGGAAGATCGCCGAATTCCTCCTGCACTTTCCCTACACCGACATCAAGAAGGCGGAGCTGCTGTACCGACACGAAGCCGAGCAGCCGAAACCTATATTCAGTTTCATCCTGATGGACGGCCCGGGCTTGCACGATTCCGTGAGCATGGAGCGGACGGGCCACAAGCTCGTTCTCACGCATGAAAAGGTCGGCAAGGAGCTGAACTACGCCGACTTTGGCGCTGCGTGGGTAGAGGCGGCGTCCAGGAAGAAGGAGTTGCGGAATCGCGAGGTCGCGGTGGGTTCGACAGGGAAGGTGAGGACGGAGTATTCGGTGCTGTTGGGTTATCTGTGGCAAGGTCTCCTGGCACATATCATCCCGTGGTAAATCATGACGTTAGGCTACGGCGTCGAAGGCCTCGCTGTCCAGCAAGTATGACGAAAGGAAAGACTTTTGTAGGATGATTTGATGACTTTAATGAAATAGAGCGTGCTTTCATTCTTCATTAGACTCTTTATACAGGTCAGAATTGTAGACGAGGTGAAGAGAGGAGATCGTTCTCACTTCCAGCATTGCCCACGGGACAGCAGATCTGCCAATACTCCTGTGCGGCCACGTAGCTATTAAATACCCACGATGACATCGACAGACATGCCGTCTGTTGGTCTTTTCGGTGAGAACGGCGTCCGAAGTATCGGCTGCCTGTTTGACAGTTTCGAATGGTCTCTTTTGAGTCAAGAGAAAGGATGAGATGTACGCGAAATTGTTGGTGTAGTGCTCCAGCGGTGCTCTGCTGTTTGACGAGGTGAGTGTGAGGGAGAGCAACGCCGCCATGCCGCGACCCACTTGCTCTTGGTAAGAGCTGTTGAAGGGGCCTGCGCCGGAGTAGTGCGTGTACGTCTTGTTGGCGATATTTATGCCGAAGAGACCGTACATAAGGCTCTGCAGGCGACTTAGTCGTTTAACCTACAGTGAATGGGTGATGAAAGGTCGGTGGTTTGGACATGGCAATTCGACTCCATCTCATCTTACACAACGCGATCGTGCCACGATATGCCTCGGCACTCGTCACTCGTCACGACGCGTGCAAATGGTGTCTGTGCTTCTTGAACCTCACAATCTCCATCTCCATCTCCATCCGCCGTCGAGTACTTTACAAAGTAATTTGAAGCGTCCAAGCCCGCCGGGCAGTGTCGAAGGCCACCAAGATGGATGGATCTTCTCCTTCGTCGTCCGGTCGACCGGCGACAGGTGGACCAGCTCCACGAGCAGTAAGTCGACACGATGCTCATGCTCCACAGCAATGCCTGCGCCGTACCAAGACTGTTGATTGCGCAGTGCGATGAATGTCGGTCCAAGAAGACGCGTTGTGATCGTGCTTCACCCTGCTCGCACTGTCGAGCATCGGGAATGACATGCCGGACGACGACGCAACGCAGCAAGGTGCGACCAGAGAGGATCCACCTCACCAAGAAATAGTTCGTCGGCGCCCTGTATTACGCGCATCGAAGAGCAATCATTGATAGCAGGCACAGTGAAGGCAAGCTCGATCTGATGAATGATCGGTTGGCTCGCATTGAGCATATGCTTCAACAGCCTCGCGACCACGCTCAATCATCTCCGCCGATCAATGCGCCACCGCGACCTCTTTCACCAGTCTCCAATGGCCCTTGGAACGACACATCTCGCCGTTCGCATTTCGACCATGTCTCCGCGGCTCCTATGCCTGCCGGTGATACGGGGACTCAAGCAGAGTCCGTGGCAGCGAAGAACGTACTTGAACAAACCGTTGGCCATGATCCGGACCCAGCTGTCCATCAGGATTCAGAGCTGAGAGCTGCTTTGGACGCTTTACGCAGCATTGTTCATCGCGCGCAACTTGAGGCGACGGGCGCTCCAAGAGGCCTATTTCCAACCACCTCATCTTCATCGGAAACTCCCGCGCCAGGCTGGGAACAAGTCGAAGCGGTCTTAGAGAGACTTGAAAGTTCGTCAAGGCAATGTTGTCGCTGATCCGTCTTGCCGCCCCACTGACAATCCTCCCAGCCTCTACACCTGCATACTTCAGTTGGCTTTCGCCAGCTTTGGTTGACGCCTTCCTGAAGAAGTGCCGATCTATGTACCAGCGGGAACAAGAGGGCTCTCCCACAGACAAGCTTCTCGTTTATTCGATGATGGCCAACATATGTTCCGAGCTCAGCGGCAGAGATGAAGGAGAGCTCGCTGGTTATAACTACGGCCTTTCAAGGAGCTTCTCCAACTTGATGTTGCAAGTGTTGGCCACTTTTCCAATGATGACGCCTGCATGCTTGGACGCTGCTGAAGCGTTGATGGTTGCTGTATGTGCAGTCATCTGCTCTGAACTAACAGACGCAAGTATAGCTAAAATACTGACCTGTTCAGGCATCAACAACAGTCGCAATGTGCAAGCCTTTATTGACCTGGTCATTGACAGGCGCCACAGCACGTATGTGTCAGTTCCTAGACTATCACCGGCTTTCGCGACTGAAATCTGAGTCCGGTCCTTTATTACAACGTAAGATTGTTCTATTTTGGAGTACTTACGTCTTGGACCGGAGCAATGCGCTCCGCCTGGGTCGCCCTCCAGCGATTCAGGACCGTGACATTGACAGTCCGATGCTAAGCGACGAGAACCCACCCGCTCTTGTCGCGTTGGTCAAGTTCTGGGTGGACACTGGATGCGTGCAGGGCAAAATCTGTAACAGCTTGTACGGACCAGCCGCGAAATCTCTGTCGTCCGATGCACGAGCTGCAACAGCGGAAGCATTTGCGGACGAGCTAGATCAGATTCACCAACGCAGGCTCAAGGTAATGCTCAATCTCCGAGTGGTGTGAAACATTTCTGACCATCTTTGCCAGACCAACGCTGCTATGTTCGATCGACAAGCGAGCATTCCGGCTGCTGATCTTCTGGTGTCTGGCGAGAGCGTGAGGCACTTTGGAGCGCTGTAAGTCACGAAAAGTCGCAAATGCCATCGAAAAGGCTGACGGCAATAACATCCAGAACCATGGCACTCTCCGCCATACCCCTGAATCATCCACGCTCGTCCCGAGCACTCGAGACAGCCCGAAAATGCCTTCAGGTCAATCGAGAGAATAGTAAAACCCACATGAAGAGTAACAACGTATATGCCTGGACCGTATACTGCCAATGGGTGCTTTTGGACGCACCGTTGACGCCCTTTACTGGTGTCTTTTGCAACGTCATTGCGAACCCGGAATCTTCACAAGAAGACCTGCAACTCCTTGAAGACTTCGTCGCCTCGCTGCAGCCCGCCGTGCCGCTTTCCGAAGGCGTCGAGAAGTTTCATCAGCTCTGCTCGATCTTCGTCAACGTTGCTCGAGCGTATGTGCGAGCGAAAGCCCAACAACGTCATGCCAACGAGCGTAGCGACGATTACGATTTCTCGCAAGCTCTACAGCCCGCAATCGGCGAATTTGACGAACTCTCGGCGGCACTTGGTTTCTTCGGACCAGATTTCACCGCCTCACAAGATTTGTCCATGGGCAGCGAGCCCGGGACGTATTTCAGCGACGGTCTGAATCCCAGCATTGCTGAGCCAGCTATCAAGCCGAGCCTGCTGGACTGGCAGTCTGGTAATGTTTCACTCTATGGATTGCTAGAACAAGACCTCAATGACATCGCTTGTGGCAACCTGGGTGAAAGGCAGGGCAATAATTGAGCGGCGGAGTGTGGTGCAGATACGAAGGGCATGACAGACCTTCAAAGTCACAATGTGCCGATCTTTGAGCACAATGTACTTGGCTCTCGCTTTGTCCACGTCTACTGGCCCTCAACCTTCTGCTTGAGACGACAGATGCCCGGATCAAAGTCTACTGTCGTAATCAGGACAAGCTCGTACGCTTAATCCCTGCTGCCCGTAACAATCCACGAGTCGAGGTCTTTACTGGAAGTATCACCGACGTTGATCTGTTCGCAAAGGCTTTAGAAGGCTCCCATGCAGCTTCTCTGGTGGCCAGTGCCAACGACAACATACCAGGCTGTCATATTAGCCAGGATCTGGCGCGCACTGTGATCGCAACACTGGAGAGGAAAAAGTCCGAAAAGGAATATACGATACCAAGGCTGGTTCTTCTTTCGTCCGCCACCATTGACCCGTGGACCAGTCGCAAGAGCCCATGGGTGAACGCTATCGTCAGACGATCTGCTTGGCACGTGTACCACGATCTCGAGTGAGCTGAAGCATTCCTGCGCCAGCACGAAGATTGTGCGCCTTACGTCTACATCAAGCCCGGAGGATTGTCGGTGGATGTCCAGAGAGGCCACCGGCTCACCTTGGACGAGGAGGAGTCGTTTGTCTCGTATGCCGATATTGCTGCGGGCATGGTGGAGGTGGCGGACTTCGGCAAAGGCGAGTGAAACAAGAAGAATGTTGGCGCGGTGAACGCCCACGGCAAGGCGAGATTCCCGGCTGGTACGCCCAGGTGCATTGTTCTGGGCCTGTTGCGATTCTACTTTCCATGGCTGCATGCGCATCTGCCAACCGGTGCCGGACCTGCGTGAGACGCCGGTGGTGTCTGTGGTCAATGCGAGTTCGATGGGTAATTTCCTCGATGCTTTGTAGCAGATACACCCGCGTAGAAATTTGCCGAGAGGGGTTTAATTGGTACTATCAGCCGAACTCTCTAATTGTTGATCGTAACGAAGCGCCATCATGCTGACATAGCCATACGTTTAAGATAAGTCATTGCATGCGTATGGCGTTGATGGTAATGTAGAAAGAGGTCCAAGGGGAAGTCGTCTTGAAGTGGTGAGGTGTGCCAAGAAATCTGCGCATGCCGACCGGAATCCGAGAGCGTTCAAACAATACAACTCGCCGTGCAGTCGCACTTGACTGTATTTCATTCCAGTGCTGCGCTGCGACTCCGTTCGATGGTCTTCCTCGACGCCTGTGACACAGAAGGCTGATCAATATGCTTGACTCCGAGAAAACTCTGGCAGCACGCGATTCCACATCCAACGACCCAACAAGCAACAAGGAGGAGCGTGGGGAGTCGTTGCGAGAGCCCTCACCTCTGAGCAAACAAACACTGGAGAAGGGTGAACATGATTCTCATAAACCGAATGACGCGGATGAAGATGCGTCGAAAGAATCTGAAAGTAAAGGAGGTGTTGGTGTCTATTTTGTAAGTGCGCCTGATCACCGCTGTGACATGCTCAACATTCCTGATGACCCTAGCGAATCTTCAAATACACAGACCGCTTCGACCGTCTTCTCTACGCCATATCATGTTTCGGAGCCATCGTTTCGGGCGCATCGCTGCCGTTGATGACGCTCGTATTCGGTGCATCGACTCGAACATTCAGCAACTACTCGATGGGCAACAGCGACGCGCAAGCATTCCAGAGCGAAGTCAACGGACTGGTCCTCTACTTCGTCTACCTTTTCGTAGGTCGATTCGTCATCAACTACATAGGTAAGGTTCCTTCTCCCTTTTTACACATGGTCGTCTCCCTCACCAGATTCGCAGGAACACTATGCGTGTGTATCGCGGCAACCCGCACAACGAACTCTCTAAGGAAGGCTTTCCTCGACAGTCTGGTCAGAAAGGAAATCGCGCATTTCGACATAGTCGACAATGGATCCACAGCAGCTCAAGTTGCAACGAGTAAGATCGCCTTCGCTCCCTCTGTTGGGTTGTTGCTGATACAAGTGTCCGACAGACGGCAATCGGATTAATCAGGGCATCGCCGAGAAGCTCTACACATTTGTCAATGGCATTTCGCTATTCTTTTCCGCCTACGTTGTCGCACTGACCGTTCAATGGAAGTTGGCGCTCATCACAATGAGTGTGATTCCGGCCATTGCAGTGACCGTCGCGGGCGTCATCAAGTTCGACGCACCGATTGAGGCTCGCATCGTACGTTCGCCATGCTCGCAAATGTAATGAGGTCTTGGAGCCTGACTTCTCATCCAGGTGAAAATATACTCCCGTGCTGCGACAGTCGCACAAGATGCTCTGTGGTCGATCAAAACCATACATGCATTTGGCGCCGGCCCCAAGGTCGTCAAATGGTACGACGAATACCTCCAGGCCGCACATCAGGAAGGCAAAAAGAAGTCTCTCATTCTCGGAATCCTCTACTCCAACAACTACTTCCTGACTCTTGCAGGCAATGCTCTTGCTTTTTGGGAGGGTTACCGATTGTTTGCAAGCGGTGAAATTCCGGACGTTGGTACGGTCTTCACTGTCGTCCTGAGCGTAACGCTAGGCGCGACATCAATTCTGAGTGTCCTGGCACCTATCTCAGCCGTAACGAATGCTTCTTCAGCTGCGGTGGAACTCTTCGCTATCATCGACAAACCGTCGAAAATCGATCCTCTCGCTTCGGCAGGCATGCGGCCGGAGAAGTGCACAGGCGAGATCGAATTCCGCGATGTAGCTTTTGCTTATCCAGCGCGCCCAACGGCGAAGGTCCTCCGTCGGCTGAACCTATCTGTCCCGGCAGGAAAGACTACGGCTCTTGTCGGACCCAGTGGATGCGGCAAGTCGACGCTTGTTGGCCTTCTCGAGCGCTGGTACCAGCCGGCGTCCGGACATATCCTCTTGGACGGCCACGACGTGGCCGAGCTTAATACGAACTGGCTCCGGAGTAACGTTCGACTTGTCCAACAAGAGTCTACCCTCTTTGATGGCACTGTTTTCGACAACGTAGCGAAAGGCTTGGTGGGCGAGCAAAAGACCCTCTCGCGCGAAGATCAGGCGCAATTGGTTAGACAGGCGTGTGAGGTTGCAGATGCTCATGGCTTTATCGAAAAGCTTCCTCAAGGCTACGACACAGAGCTCGGGGAGAACGCCGGTATGCTGAGCGGCGGGCAACGGCAGAGGCTATCCATTGCTCGGTCCATCATCTCCGATCCGAAAATCTTGCTCTTCGATGAAGCCACCAGCGCCCTGGATCCGCAAGCCGAGCGAGTCGTGCAGGACGCTCTTAACCGTGTGTCAAAGAACAAGACCACCCTGGTGATTGCGCATAAGCTTGCAACAATCAAGAACGCCGACAGCATCGCCGTGATGAGGGAAGGAGAGGTAGTAGAGCAAGGCAACCACGCCGAGCTCATCGAGCAAGACGGCCTCTACGCAGCCATGGTCAGAGCGCAGGGTCTTGGTGACGAAAGCAAGAAAGACCAACTAGAGCACCACGACAACGAAGACCATACTGACAGTACGCTCCGGCCGCTTGCTTCACGTCGCGAAACGCAACCAGCTATGTCGTCCAAAGATCTCGAAGAAGGCCAGCCTGACCACCTCACCGCCGGCACGCTCCATTATTCGCTGTTCAAATGCGTCCGCATTATGTTGAAGGAGAACAAGGCCATGTACAAATGGTATGCGCCTCTCACCTTCGCCTTTGTGATGGTGGGTGGGACCTATCCGGCGCAGGCGCTCCTCTTCGCCCGCTTGCTGAATGTATTCACGATACCAGACGAAGAGGAGGCCCGATCAAAGGTCAATCTATTCTCGCTCATGTTCTTCATCGTTGCTCTGGCCAATCTTGTGGGATACTTCGCCATCGGCGTCATCACCAACATCATCGGGCAGGCTCTTACTCATCGCTATCGGCGAGAGATGTTGGAGCGTATTGTCTCCTGCGACCAAGACTTCTTCGACTATCCTGAAAATTCGTCCAACGCTCTGGCCTCCAAGCTGTCTTCGGTCCCGTCGGCGGTGCAAGAGCTCATGTCTGCAAATATTGGGCTTGTTGTGACCGTCATCGTCAACGTGGTGTCCACGAGCGCACTTGGAATTGTGATTGGCTGGAAGCTGGGACTCGTTATGGTATTCGCTGGACTGTCCGTCATAGTGGGTGCCGGATTCTTGCGTGTGCGCCTCGACATGCGGCTGGAGAGTTCTACCGAGACGCAGTTCACCAAGAGTGCCAGCCTGGCATCTGAAGCTGTCGGTGCCATCAGGACGGTCAACTCTCTGACGCTCGAAGATTCTGTCTTGCACGAGTATAGCCAGTTGTTGGATAGTATCATGGCGCAGGTCATCCGGAGTCTGGTAAGTCTCTTTTATCGAAAGTGAGTAGATCGGTCGCAGGAGTGCTAACGAGACCGGTATCCGCAGGTTCTCACACTGATACCCTACAGCTTCTCCCAATCGGCTGACTTTCTCGTCATGGGACTAGGTAAGTGAAAGCGCACACCCTCTTGCAACTCCAAGCCCCTGTACTGACGGGACTAGGCTTCTGGTATGGATGTCGTCTGATCGCCAGTGGAGAGTACACGGTCACGCAATTCTTTACCATATTTCTCGCGCTCGTTTTCGGAGGCCAGGCCGCAGCCCAGTTTTTCACTTACACAACATCCTTCACAAAGGGAGCGTTCGGCGCAAATTACATGCTATGGCTCCGAACCATCCAGTCGAAGATCCGTGTGAGCGAAGAGAACAAGACCAAAGGGCCATCGGGAGACGATGCGCCAATCGCACTTGACAGGGCCGAGTTCGTTTACAGGCAGCGAGGCTCTGCGAAGGTGTTACGAGATGTGTCCGTGAAGATCGAGCCAGGATCGTACGCCGCACTCGTTGGGGCGTCTGGATGCGGCAAGAGTACCGTCATCTCTCTGCTGGAACGTTTCTACGACCCCACCTCTGGCCGCATTACGTTGAGTGACAAAGACATCTCATCTCTGTCACCTGCGTTGTATCGTCAGCATCTTTCCCTGGTACCGCAGGAAGCGCCCTTGTACCTCGGGTCGGTGCGGCAGAATATTGCGCTGGGGCTTGAATACGACCCTTCGGAGGAGGAAGTGCGAGAGGCGTGCCAGCAAGCCAACGCGCTGGAGTTTGTCTCGTCACTGCCAGAAGGGTTAAACACACATTGCGGCTCGCGAGGTCTGCAATTTTCCGGCGGGCAGCGACAACGGATCGCCGTTGCCCGAGCCTTGATTAGAAAGCCGAGGATTCTGTTGCTTGACGAGGCTACGTCTGCCCTAGACACGCAGAGCGAGAGGATCGTGCAAGAGGCGCTGAACAAAGCTGCGTCGACGAGGACTACTATTGCTATAGCGCATCGGTTGAGCACTATCAAGCATGCGGATCTGATTCTCGTCATGGAGGGCGGGAAGATCGTGGAGAGGGGTACTCACCGGGAGTTGCAACAGCTTAATGGGCGGTATCAGGCCATGTGTGTGGCCCAATCTCTGGATGCCTGAGTTGTCGTGGCCATGACTTTGTATGATAGTGCTGATGGGAAGTTATAACAGAGTGATAGAGGTGGCCAGTGTAATGAACTCATGAGAATTGGAAGCGCTTCCTTAGGTACCATCTCTTGCAGAGTCGCAGGGAGAGCGCGAAGGCTCATCAGAGGGATGTGTGACACCGAATTTAGGGCTGCAGAAGGTGTTGCCAGCAGGACGCCCGCAAAACCCGTCGTCGGAATGCCGCTCTCGAGCCAATATCCGGTTATCGTAGAGTATCGAGACCAGACGGACGCTTTGGTTATAGTCTTCCGAAGCGGCAAGGCGAAGGTGGCACGGTTTGTTCAATGCTCGCTTCTCACCCCTCCTCTCTCTCTCACTCATGCTATCGTCCGTGGATCACAACAGCAGGCGCGCTCGAGCACCGTCCGCGCAAGTTGGCCGACTGTCAAGAGCGAACACGTGAGTGGCGTATCTCTCTGCTCTGCAAGCACCCCGCGGCGAGACCGAAGGCTACAGAGGTCAAATCACGCGCAGCGCTGATCTCTTGCTCCGGCCAGCGATTTGCCATGTCTAAAGGACATCAGCCTCCAGGGAAGCGTGCAGCGTGAAGCCGTCCTACCCGCGAAGGTTCCGGAGAATAAGGAGTCACCCGCTTGGTGGTCAGCTGGTGAAGAAGGGCTGCAGTCGCAACAAGAAGCTGTTCCTCGCCGGCCTTGACGGATTCTGGTTCCAGGAAATGCTCGACCATGTTGCATAGCCATCCGACGTCGATGGACAATGCTCTTCGAAGGCGGCGGGACCGAATGCCAGCATCCAGCCTTTTCAGCTCCATAAGTGGCATTGGCCAATGAGCAGTGCGGGGCCGAAATCACCGCCATCATCCTGCTCCTCCTTCCCGTCACTCCTTCGTTTCCAAAGCCTTGGTGTTGGTCCTAATTTCATCTTCACGATGGAAACTTAACCGCACTTCTTCCAATTCATCACAGAGAAGACACATGTTATCGGCGCTGGCGAGAAAGGACCAGAACCAGAAGGATCATCTCGTCTGATATCTCTAGACCGGTGAAGCCACGATTAACATTTGATCATCGTCTTGCAGGATGGAGACTACAGTCTCGAGTTCAGCTTTCCCTTCTACTAACGCATGCTGAGTCGCCGTGCAATCACTGGACAAAGTATGTTAGCCGTTACTCTCTACAACCGCCAGTCGCCGAGCCGCGGCCATGGCTCACAGGATTGTCCGGCACTGGGCAAACGCTGAGTTGATCCTCCTTCAAGATGCTGGGTATGCTGTCCGGATGACTCGCGTTCCTCGGCTATGTGGCCTGTTGCCTGGAAGTTGATGATTTTCTACGACATGAACGGAGCTTGCCAGGAGTCAAATGACTAACCGGGATGTCCGAGTCTCCACGGTCATCGCCCATGATCAACCCCGATTGCAGACCAGGCAGTCCGTCGTCCGCTTACGAAATGCATCTGTCTGAAGGCCGTAAACCAGCCTCGATCGACTTCGACCACTCAGAGACGGTTCGCCATCACTAAGACTCCGCTATCTTGATGGCAGGCAGCGGCCCGTCGGGAGCTGAAGGTAGCCTATGCAAGGTTCTTTAACTTTGAACACCGCTTGCACGTGGTGTCTGTGCGATATGCTTTCGATAAAAGGTGCTAAACGGCTTCAGTTGGACTGTTAACTCAGCCCTGCGCAATCGTATCGGCCTTCCATTTTGTCACGGTTTGAACTTGATGTTCCTCGGCGTCTGGATCTTCTATTGTTCCGAGGTCACCCGCTCCTATACTAAGATCCCTTCGGAAGCCGACCTTTGATGGCATCAAAGACGACCTAAGGAACCTTATGACTACGAGTCGAAGCCGATCATGGGATCCAAAACACCAGATGGTCATCGTCGAGGTCCAAACGGTATGGGAAAGAAAGTGTTCGCTTCGCGTTGTAAGCTATTGTGACACCCTGAGCAGAGTCACCGGCACGCACCCCAATTGCTGCCGTCAATCCTCCCAAGCTGGCCGCAGCAAGTGGCCTCCTTCATGGTGCACTCGAAGGGGAAGACGAAGACGGAGAGGACGAGGACGATGACAAGATTGGAGCTGACCTGAAGTCCGGTGGTCAGCCCAACAATAGTAAGCCAACTTGAAGTTAACACACACTTGAAGCTAACCCCAGAAGGCAAGAAGAAGAAGAAAAGAAAGAGTAACAAGAAGAAGAAAACGAAGACACTGGGTGGACAGCAGACGACTCCTCCGAGGGTTGCACTCGCCGGCCTCTTTCACGATCAGCGATATCCGGAGGGCGAGATTGTCAAATATGTCACCGACAATGACAATCTTCAGCGCACTACGGCTGAAGAACTTCGTCACCTATCTGTCGTGAACAGCATGGATGATGAGTTCCTGAATGACTATCGCAAAGCTGCCGAAGTCCATCGCCAGGTCCGCCAGTATGTGCAGACGATCGCAAAGCCCGGCATTTCCATGAGCCAGCTTGCCCAAGAAATTGAGGATGGCGTTCGGGCACTGACCAACCACCAAGGTCTTGAGACCGGAGACGCTCTCAAAGCCGGCATGGGGTTTCCGACTGGGCTCTGCTTGAACAACGTAGCTGCTCACTGGACTCCCAATCCTGGAGCTAAGGAGGTTATCCTCCAGTACGACGATCTCCTGAAAGTGGATTTCGGAGTTCATGTCAGCGGTAGGATTGTCGATAGCGCCTTTACCGTGGCTTTCAATCCGGCCTACGATAATTTGCTCGCGGCTGTTAAGGCAGCCACCAATACTGGGCTCAAGGTAAGCGAATCTGCCCTGCAGCACGTCTGCAAAGCTAAATAAACGCCCAGGAAGCTGGCATCGATTCCCGGATGGATCACATCAGTGAGGCAATCCAGGAAGTAATGGAGAGCTACGAAGTCGAGCTCAACCGAAAGATCATCCCTGTCAAAGCGATTCAGAACATCACTGGCCATAACATCCTGCGCTACAAGATCCATGGCGACAAACAAGTCCCCTTCGTCAAGACCCGAACAACCCAACGCATGGAAGAAGGCGATGTGTTCGCCATTGAAACCTTCGGCAGCACTGGCAAAGCTTATCTCAGAGATGACGTAGGAGTTTACGGCTACGGGCGCAATGAGCATGCCAGCGCTGCTGGTCTTCACCATGCCTCCGCCAAGTCGCTGCTGAAGACGATCGATGAGAACTTCGGGACTCTGGTCTTCTCCAGGCGTTACCTTGAGCGCATTGGAGTGAAGAATTACCACCTCGGCATGAGATCGCTCGTCTCGAACGGCATTGTTGAGTCGTACGGACCGCTGGTCGATATTCCTGGCTCTTATGTCGCACAGTTTGAGCATGTGAGTAGTTCACGAGTTGAAGACCGCGGAATATGCTGACGCAACCTTCTAAATAGACCGTTCTGCTGCGACCTAATTGCAAGGAGGTGATCTCCCGAGGAGACGATTACTAAGGAAATGTGGGATGTTGGGGGTCAAATTGATTCTGGGAATACTGGCTGTATTTGATTCTCTGTGGTCCTGACTTCAACAGTCATGGAAAAACACATTGGTAAAGCATTTCAACATGCCTTACTTGGCATATATCTCGCCGATGACACTCTTTTTAAATCGCAAAATATCAAGGATCGAATAACACCATATTTCATTAACCTAAGATACTGCACTATAAGACTCTGCGCTTTCGTTCTATCGCTGATGTCTACTACTAATACAAAGGAGGGGGTATTAACTAAGGAAGCGGCAGCCGCTTAACTACCCTCTAATATTATTAAGAAATATTAACAACTAGTTTATATAATTTAAATCTGTATCTTCTATTCACTAAAGATATATCTAATATGCTAGCCTATCTCTATAAACGCCTTAATGTAACAAGGTACTATTACGAGATAATAAAGGTACTATAATAGTTAGGTTCCTAATTAAGGAGATAGAGAATAGTGCTAAGATATAGTTAATAAGATAAGAATTAATATTATATAGTAAGATCAGATTAATATTATAAAGAATACTAGATTCTTATTTAAGTTAAGCACACTATTCTAATAAACAAGAACGGTACCTTTTATATACTTATGCGCTAATACTATACTTAGTATAATTAGTATGCTTAGTATACCTAGTATGCTTAGTGTATCTAGTGTACTTAGTGTGCTTAGTATACTTAGTATGCTTAAGGCTGCTAAGCCCTTTAATCCAACTAAGTATCTTATAGGTAAATACCTATCCCGTATTTTATTCGTGACACTATCCCCCTTCTAGCTTAGCGGTGCCCTACCGCTTAGCGTACTTATAGAGATGTGCCCCCTACTATACTAGGCTTTATCACTATACCTCATTCTAGTCGTAAATTAAGTACTTTTCGCTATAAAGAACTTACTAACTTTATTAATTCCGCCGGAGACATTATAGTTAAACTGTATAGTACCTATAAATAGTATACTTATAAGTGTTAGGTTTATATTCGTTTAGGAAAGTGTAGCGAGTGCTTCCGCTAGGGTTAGCACTATAACCTTCGTGTTTCTTAGTCTAAATAGGACCGTTTAAAGATAGAGCGAGTGCGACTCTAGGAATAAATCTTAGAGGCGTACTAGGCTTAGGAAAAAGCTTATTAAATCTAAGAGGAAGCCGTCCAAGCCTAGAAAGCGGCTCGGCGCGAGTTAGATAAGGCCTTCGTCCGGGAGATGTAATTACAATAGCGGCTAGACCTTTTAAAGTAGCGTGAAGCTAATATAGTAGTCGTTAAGCTAGTAAATATTAAGCGCTAGGAGCTATCTAAATCACTCTCCTCTGCTATACCCTCTAAGGGTTCAGCCTAGGGCGTGTAGCTATTTTCTTTTACTTAGAACGCCCTAGACAGTAGTCTAAACCTAGATACTAACTTCTAGTTACTTAACCCTACTGTCGTCGTTCCTTTTATCTTAGGGGCTAAGTCCTCTATCTCCGCCCCTTATACTATACAATAATTCGTTCGCACCTATTAAGGTT